TCCTCTTACCCTCTACAAGTTCACCGTAAAGAAGAGATTTCGGTAGGCGGTTTTCTTGCATCCTGCATACGTGGCCAGCCCATCTTAAGCGAGATTTAGTATTCATGACTCCAGCGCCCTCGCAGCCTGCTTTTTCAAGGACTAATATGTTTGAGACATGGTGGTTCCATTTAATTCTTAACAGTTGTCTAAGGTGTCTAACTTGTTTAATGTTGTTAATCTTCCATATAACATGGTGAGGATTATTATTGCTCGATACACTGCAAGTTTCGTTTTTGTGCTCAAGTCATGATTTTAGAAAACCCTGTCTTTTAATTTCCAGAATGCCCTTGAAGACAGCTAACTGTGTGCTGAATTTCCGAGTCGATATTTGCCTTTTCCGTAATCAAACTGTCGAGGTAATTAAATTCCGATACATATTCCAATAGTTCTTCTCCGATTTTTATAGCGCTGTTATGATTTTCCGGGGGAGTGCACATGATTTTAGTTTAAATCGATGTTCAGCTTAAGGTCCAAAGTCTCGTATGCCCAGGTATATGTGTTCAGCATTTCCTGTAATTGCTGTAACGTATTTGCAACTAGAGCGCAGTCATCAGCGTATTGGAGTTCTGTGATAAATTTTATATGTGTTTTTACTCTGAGACTTTTTAGGTTGAACAGACCGCCGTCATATCTGTATCAAACACCCATTCCTCTTTCCTGCAGTTTGCTGTCCACTATAATAGAAAGCGCTGCTATGAATATGTTGAATAGGAGAGGAGCTAGGACACATCCCTGCCTAACTCCTGTATTTGTCAGGAAGGGATGGCTCAGTGATCCATGATGTGACACTCTTGACTTGTTGTTATGGAGGCTTTTACACACGTAAGAATTTTACTGAGATCTACCGCGCGCTACACAACCAACTATTTTACAGTCGTTTTCGATAAATCGCAATAGTGTCACTGTTAATTTAAGTTCTGCTACAATTTCCTTCTAGATTTACTACCTTTAGACAACTATCAGTAGTAGAATAAATAATAAATAACATAAAATAAGCTCAGTCAAGACTGACAAATCCACAAAATTTCATATCAAATTCAAATGTGTCAAATGAATCGTCAAACAGAACTGTCAATGATCCCCACCCTAGGGCCCTTTGTCTGTCTTCCTTGCATGAATACATGGATAGCATTATAATTCTTCCTTAATCTTTTTATTCAAAGATATTTATTCATTTATTTTTGACATTTTTACCGAGTTAAAATTAACATGTTACTTTTAAGGCTGGTTTTTAATATATTTACACTGCGTACTAAACAGAACGAACGTTCTAATACACTTTGAGGAATGTTTGCTTTTGCATAACAGACAGAACAGGTTGATACAATACAAATAACATTTTTCTGAACCCGAACCTTTTTGTTGAACCGCGCACGGTGACCTATGGAGAAAAGGGAGCATTGTATGCTAATGGAAAACGATATTTTTATGTTAGGCAGAGAAGAGGAAATATTTTAGACGCTTACAATACACATAAAGTTTGTAAAGCTTGTTTCACACCGCAGTGATCACAGGTAAGGCGCGTATTTGAAATATAAATATGTATGTAAGTCGAGTGCTGTAAAATATTATCAACCGTTTGATGGTATAAACAACTAGACTGATACAACTTTGATATCTGTATAACTCTACAATTTATTTATGATTTTATATTTTGTAGATAAAAATAATTAGTTATATACATTTGTAAAATCCTAATTGCCAATAGTCCTGAAGAATTACAAGCCAAAATTAACAAACTAAATACAGCCAGCAATAAAGTACTCTTGATAGGTCTCAAAATGAATTTAGCAAAAACTAAAATATTGTACAACGAACAAGACAAATGACATTCTAATAAATAACACAACACTGGAAATAGTAGAAGAATATATATATTTGGGACACACAGCTCGGGATCTCTACTACCAGAAATCAATAGAAGAATTAAGTTAGCATGGAGTAATTATGGAAGAAACTCAATCATATATTCAAATCTAGAATGCCACTTTATCTGAAGAAGAAACATGCGACCAATGTGTACTACCAGTCCATGAGAGTTGTGTACTACCAGTCCATCACAGAAACCTGGACACTTAAAACGGACTTTATAATGAAACTGCAGGTCGCACAACGCTCAATGGAACGAAATATGCTGGGAATAATCAAGAAAGATTGTAAAAGAATAGAGTGGATACGACAAAAGACCCAGGTAATAGATATCATCCACTGAATCAAATCCCTCAAGTGGCAATGACCAGGACACTTAACAAGAAGGACGGACAACAGATGGACCACAAAAATTGTATTTACCCACTTGGAATTTACGAATTTACCAATTTGGTACCCACGAAGAATTATGAGACCAAGAGGAAGACCAAACCTGAGATGGTACCATGATATTAGGAAATTATCAGGGATAACTTGGGCCCGCATAGACAACATATTGAAATAAAAGTAGTAATTTACAGGTGGTACCGATTTAAAAATAATGCAATATCAAAAAAAAAACGTCAATGATACAGACATCTGCCCCGAGGCATCTTTTGCTAGTTATTTAGAAGTGTGATAGCAAAGCAACCGTCCATCACTGCAACGCTTTAAGTCGTAAATCGCATAACACCTGTATGCTATGGGCTCATCCAAGTCTCATTCATCGTCTTGGAATTTTTAATTCATGCTTTAATAATAAAAAAGTTAATAGATAAATTTATCTATTAATTTTTAATTATTTATAGTTAAAGACTACTCTACAAAACAAAGAAAATTAGATATTGGGTAGAAAATTTATTATATTTTAGTAGACCTAAGTCAGTAATGCGAACCAGTTAACTGATTTTTGGTGACACGCATCTTCAAAGATATAAAATATCATAATTCAATATCTGTCTCTCATAACGGTCATAGGTGGTTATTAATAATAATATTATTATTTACGTTAATAAAATAACTTAGTTCTGAAACCAGACGTATGAGACATTCTCTGTGTCGGAGAAATATCTTTAGTTTTGCTTAATTCCTTTTGAGACCCACTTTAATGCTGGCTGTATTTAGTTCGTTAATTTGTGCTTGTAATTCCTCAGGTCTATTAGCAATTAGAACTATATCATCAGCGAATCTTAGAGGGTTAAGATATTCTCCATCTATTTTTAATCCTTTGTTGGTCCAGTCCAGTTGACGGAAGATTTCTTCTAATATGTTGCTGTAAACAGCTTTGGGAATATCGCGTTTCCCTGTCGTACTCCTTTGCCTGTAAGAGGGAATCGGGTGGACAGCTCAAAAAGTACAAGGATATTTTCCATACTTAAAGGAGATAAGCAGCGTACAATAGAACGCAATGGAGAAGAATTGTAAACTCAGTTAACAACGGCAACCAAAAAGTAAAGAGGCCACAAAGTAGTTAGATTTTTTAATGTTCGAAGTGCAGAAGAGAGAGTATCCGATACAGCACGTATCGGACTTTTCAGTCACAGAAAAGCTCACGAAAGAAAACGCCTTGCGTAACCATCTTCTGATGCATGTCAAATACTCGTCGGCGATTAATGGCAGTAAGTAATAAAGTTTTGTTTTAAACTTTGACTTAAAAACACTCTGTATATCTTAAGACATATCAATAATTCAATTTAATATTTCTTTCCCATCTCGCATTCCAAACTGTAATTGAATGTAAATGAAATGAACGTAAATAGCCAGAGAAACTTGTGCAATAGTGATTGATGATTCTCTACAACGACAATAAAGGCCTGAAACAGTTCATAGATCGCTAACAGTATTAATATTATGAAATGTCATTAATCTACTGTCCTGTTACACCAAGCTGTAATTATATGACGCACAATTACACAGGGTATGCCAAAAAGTGGAAACAACTGGGAACTGGCACTGCAAAAGGCATATATATATATGCAGATAAGAATCGATTTTTTCGAATCGATTCCAAATAAAACGAAATAGTAGACGACAGTACAACTTTAACGCCTCTTCAAAAAAGTCTAGTACAGTTTTTGCACAAAATCATCTGGGGAAACAATATTTGACCTTTTCAAAATTTACGTGGGATTTACTATGTCCCGCGTTCCAATGCACCACACTACCACACGGTATAAGTTCTACTGTATTACAAACCTATAGGGAAATTGGAACAACTTTCATTGCACGTCATCAATGACACAATGCGTCGTCTTATGGAGTTTGCTGGTGGTCGTATTATGATGTGCAACCAAAGTTATTTTAATTTCCCTATAGATCATATATTTATACCTACGTGGATAAATCAACGCCATAAATTTAGCATTAATAAATATGTCTCCAACATCACGACATGCAATTTTCAAACCTTCTTTATTGCACTTATGAAACGTTCAATAGGTTTGTCTTTTCCGTGGACCTTACCTTACTTGATTTTAAAAACTGTATTAATTACTCTTTTATCAACCGCTTGTATATAGCCAAGAATGCAAGTGTGTTCAGTAAGAAGTTAATTTGAAGTTTGTGCAATTATATTTCTATTTTTCTCTTTGTTGGACTTTCTAAACACTCGTGAAAATGACTAGAAAGTGTTTGGTGTTGGAATATAAAGATCTCCGAATTATCTTTTCATAGGCAAGTAAAGTATTCATTGTTCTTTTATTTATATTAAACCACATGCATACTTTCTGGTTAGATTTCCTAAGAATATTGATATTCGTACGGAGTGGCTAAATATATTTTTTATATAATTTAATTTTTGTGACAGTAAACGTTCAATTTATTGTTCAAATATATGCATTTTACAAATTAATTTTTTTTAAATTAATGTTCAAATTTGGCCCGTGGACGATAGGTCCTCGACAAGGATAGTAGTATAGTAGAAGCACCACGTGTGCAACAAAAAAAGAAGATAAATGGAAGTCGTTAATATGTTTGCGACAGTTTCCATAGTGATTTACTTATCCTCGTAAGTATTGTATGGTCTAGGATTACAAATCAAAATAAATTACCTGCAATATACTCCGTCCCATTAGACACAACACCCCTATCCTTCCCATCATCCTTCTTCCCATTCCTCACCACCACCTCCGTATCCTCGTATCCAGGATTATTATAACCTCTTTCCATCTTATCCACGTCGTTCTCACCAACCAGCCGTTCCTTGATATCGAGGTTGGCCGTGGACATGTAGTGGGTCTCTTTGGGGTTGTGGTGGGCGCGGCCGTTGCGGTACTCGAACTCGTCCTGGTGGATGGGCAGGGTCACCTCGTTTTTGTGGTAGTACCGGGTGTCCGGATGGCCGTTCGGGGATAGGGCACCGTCTATGGCAGTGCGGATGACGTCATCGCCTTCGCTGGTCGCTGTGTCGTGGGTCGTCGAGGAGCTGTCTGGGTCCATTCCTGTTAAGAGAAGAAGAAGGCCTATTACAATTATTTATATATTAATCTTCTATATTTTAATATTTAAATATGGAATGCCTAAACTCTATCTAAAGAAGAAAACATTCGGCCAATGTGTACTATATAAGAAATAAGAACAACTCCACAATTTTCTTGTAAGATTCAATGGTTTGACCGTGCCAGAGCATAGCTTAACGGCTTTCCAACGCTGCTTCACTTATAACTCCGTCACACTTTATAACACATTTTTTAACTTTTTTTCATCTAAATCACTAACAGTGTTTCGAAGGGATGTCAAGCAGTCGCTGTTGAATAAAAAATAGTGTAAAATCTATATATTGTTATTTTATTTTTTATATATTTTATTTAAATTGTTATATTCTTGTTTGATCTATGATACATTTTCTTGTTTTTATGTATGTACGGTATTGTAAGTAATATACTGTTCCTAGGGGTATGTTGGGTTATGCCTGTTTTTCTCAAGCTAGACTTCGCCCATAAGAGTTGTAATTATCTGATATACAGGGTGGTCCGAACTGTATTCCGGAAACTTCGGCAGCCCATCCTGCAGATAAAAATAAGTAAAAACGTTCATATAAATGTATGTCCTAAAATGCTTCATTTCCGAGATACAGGGTGTAGAAGTTTCATTTTTATTTCGATTTTTTGCAAATAATTTCTGAAGTAACGTCAATATTTGGATGAAAATTGGTGTCTGGGAGTTTTTTGACATGATAATTTTTTTTTTTTAATTAAACAACCTATATATTTTTTTTTAAAGGTCAAAAATCCATAGATTTTCTATATACCTATGCGCTAACTGTTTTTGAATTATTTCGGTTTAATCAGCGTATTAAAAAATTTCTTTCAATAAAATTCTAGACATTTTGTAATTAATTGTGTCTTCTTCTTCTTGCTGTTGTAATAGAATCGGTATTGTCAAGACTTAAATATAGGAATAGTGAATAAAAGTAACAATTATATTGATGAATAGAAATAAAAGGAAAATGATAAGAACCTTATGAAATCGAAATTTAGACACACAATCTTCGTTTTCGATGTTTACACATTATTCAATAAAGAGAAATTGATTAATCGGCAACCTCTTTCACTTTTTACCATATAGTGCGTGCTAATTGACTAATATGCATATAGATATTTCCCTTTTAATAATAATTAATTATAAGTTATTCATCTCTAGATTGGAATTTAGTAATGAAGCGTATAAAATTATGTAAAAATTATAGTTAATCGATTTTTCTATCTTCTATTTTTTTATTTCGTAGGTTATCAAATAGAAAGAATAGTATAATATTGTCTCCCAGATAAAGACAGCGTTTACCCGCATTGGTATAGTAGTATAAGTCTATCCAACGAGAGATGGTATTCAAGGTATTCATAATTTCAATTCCAAATATCTCGAGAACCATTACTCGTAGCGATTTTTACCAGAAGACCTTTTCTACGTATAAAACGTTGTAAATGTATTTTTTTTACTCTGTAGTTTTATACAGGTACGGACGAAAAGTTATTACTCTTCAAACCAGTTAAAAAATATGTAGGTGGTGTCCTCTCATCAAAACTCTCATGTCAAAAAACTCCTAGACACCAATTTTCACCGAAATATTGACGTTACTTCAGAAATTATTTGGGAAAAAATAGAAATAAAAATGAAACTTCTACACCCTGTATCTTTGAAACTAAGCATTTTAGGACATACATTTATACGAAGTTTTTTACTTATTTTTATCTGCAGAAGTTTGCGGAATACAGTTTGGATCACCCTGTATATGAGAGACTATTATTATTATTTTTATAATGCAACTGAAAAATATGCAAGTCCGACTCGCTCTTGGTGAATTTTTTTTGGTTTTATATTTTGCATCAGCCCGTTTATTGTTAATAAGTAATAAGCTTTATCAGCTAATCTGAGATGGCGTCGTGATTTTACAAAATAACACCTCTTTTAGCACAAACCACTAGCGCTCTTAATTAGTTTTGAGTGGTTTTACAACATATTGGCTGGCCTTCGATGCAAATGGAAAATACATGAAACTTATCTTTTTCAGTTTTTAGTACCTACGCATAAAATTGCGTAAAATATAAGGTACGTATGAACGTACATAATGTCTTGAAAATTATCGGAATATTAAAGAGCCGTTAAATATGCAATGCATTGAATAATTTCAAGAATGTCTGGGATGCAATACAATAAGACCTTTTAATTTGAAGCCATAATACAAGAAAACGTGATCGGATTAAGTACACACAATACCCAAATGTATGATCCGTAATGGAGTAAAACCATTGATCCGGAAAAATCAGAATGTCCATTGGAGAAAGAGACAAGGGCATAGCAAGGTCTTTATCTAAGGACCTAATTCTTAGGACCTAATAAACTGCAGCACTATGGGTTCAGGGGAACATCTCTCGAATGGTTTAAGTCATATCTGAGCAACAGAAGTCAACTTGTGAGGGTGGATACCACGTTGTCTTCTAGCAAGCCAATAGAATGTGGAGTACCACAAGGCTCAGTACTAGGCCCTATTTTGTTTCTTCTTTTTATTAGCGACATTGCTAACATAAACATCAGTGGCGAAATATGTATTTTTGCGGACGACAGTAGCTTCACTTGGAGCAACAAAGACGTCACGGCACTTATACACGGATTATATCAAATGACTTAATCACCGTTAAATCTTGGTGTGATTCGAACCTCCTGAGTCTCAACATTTCTAAAACTAAAGCTTTGTCGTATAAAAACTCGCTGCAGCCTTTTGTACAACACCACCATTGAAGTCGTAAAATCTGTAAAATTCTTAGGGCTTGTTGAAGACAATTCTCTGAAATGGAATGGGACATGCATATCGAAGCTTTGTCGAAAAAAATGAGCTCTGCCTGTTTTGCATTAAGATCCGTTTCTAAGGAGCTTAACTTGTCAGTGGCTAGAACTGTTTATTATGCACTTTTTGAGTCGCATCTCAGATATGCCCTTCCATTCTGGGGTACGTGTTGTGCTACTCAATTTGACCACATTTTCAAGCTCCAGAAGAGAGCTGTTCGATATTCACTGGGACTAAACAGCAGAACTCATTGCCAGGACTTTTTTAAAAAATTAAAAATATTAACTCTTCCTTCCTTATTTATATTTGCATCCGTTTGCCTAATACGTAAGCATGTATCAGCTTCTCAAGAAAGGCCATCTCACACTTATCCGCTCAGGAACGCGGAGCAAGATCTTTATCTACCTACCCCACGCTCAGAGTGAGTTAAAAGTTCAATATTATACAACTCGAAAAAAATGCACATCACCTGCCATTTGAAATCAAATCCATAACATCATTTTCTTCATTTCGCAAAGCACTGAACTCTTATTTACTAGACAAGGCTTTCTACGCTGTAAATGAATTATATTTTGATAATCGAATTTGATCTTGTACACACTGGTCTAATGTTTGCTATTGCTATATTTACTAAGGACATCGAAATAAATTTATTAAAGGTCATTGATATTTACTATAAACTAACTAAATATTTTTGAATGTTATTTTTATTTTTTTATTCTTTGACATTGTAAACATTTATAAATGTTTATTTTAAACAATAAGACTGACAATTATTTGTATAATGTTTTGTATTATCTTTTGTTTGTTTGTTTGTGTAACTTGTTTGTTTACTTTGTTTGTTTAGTTTACCTTTGTCTACAAATTGAAAATTTTTTTGACAATAAAGGCATTTATTTATTTATTTAAACCACAAAGAAATTGCTAATACTTAGCAGGAATAAAGTGCGGATTAGAACAGGTCTTTTGACAGGACATCTTTCTTCTTCTTCTTTCTCAGCCTGGTTCCATCCAGTGTTGGATATAGGCCTCTTCTAGGTTTTTCCATGCTTCGCGATCTCTAGCCAATCTTATCCATTGTCTTCCTGCCGCCGTTCTGACGTCATCAACCCATCTCTTTTTTGGTCGGCCCACACTTCTTGTTGTTCCCCTAGGTCTCCATAGAATGACTTTTTGGGGCCATCGGTCTGGATCCTGTCTTGCCACATGTCCTATCCATTGCCGCTTCAGACTTGTCACTATTTTAACAACATCTGTTAATTTTGTTTTTGACGTATGTGGGTGTTCCGTATTTTTTTCCTAATGGTGACTCCCAACATGATTCTTTCCATGGCTCTTTGTGCTACTCGTAGTTGTTCTGCTGTTTTTCGGGTAATTGCCATAGTCTCTAAGCCATACGTAAGCACAGGTAGAATGCAGCTATCGTAAGTTTTTTTTTTAGGTTGATGGGCACCTTTTTATCCTTGAAAATATCGCTCATATTTCCAAATACTACCATGCCAAATGGATCCTGCGTTTGATCTCCGTATTTTGCTTCTCTTTACCCAGCTTGATTTTATGACCTAAATATATATAATGGTCTACGTTTTCAATAAAAACGTTGTCTACGGTAATGTTATGGATATTGTTGCTCATTATCTTGGTCTTCTTCAAGTTCATTTTAAGACCAATTTTTTGGGATTGGTCATTCAGCTCCTTTAGCATGGTGTTCAGTTCTGGAATGTCGGTGCTCAGCAAGACAATATCGTCCGCGAACCTAAGATTACTAAGGTGTACCCCATTGATGTTTAGACCTCTATTTTCCCATTCTAATTTCTTGAAGACATTTTCCAGTGCCAGTGTAAATAATTTGGGAGAGATGGTATCTCCTTGTCTCACGCCCTAGCCGATTGGTATTTTTTCTGTTTTGAGGTCATCGCATAATTTAACTTGGAAGGTTGCATTATCATTATTATTAATGACAGGACATATGACTGTCAAATGATCCCTAAACAAGCTCAACTTATACTAAGGAAATCTTTGCAGCAGACTTTGCGATAAAGATTCTGAAACAGCGGAGCACATGTGTCACTGCGAGGCTCTGGATGGCAACTGACACTTTCTATTTGGGAAAGCAACAGGCGCAGGCGTAGGGTTTCCGGCACAGACGACCGGCGA